ATTTCGATGTATTTGTAAGCACCAAAATCGAGTAAAATACATAATAGTGCAAACTAAAATGTATTTAAATAATTAGCTTATAAATTAGTGGATTTATGTAAGTTCCCCAATATCCAATACAACCTCTAATAAAGTACTATTTCAAATAGACATTTTTAATTGTTTTTTGTTTTGGGAGGGGGGATGCGTGTTTTTTCATTTGTCTAGTAGAGATTTTAGTTAATCACATAAACTATGTCATCTTTTTTAATTATATGCATCAGTGATCAGTCTCAAGTAGCAAATACATGTAATTCTACGACTTATTAAGCCGTATAATTAAAGAAAATGACATAATTTATGTATTAACTTAATTATATTATAGATGAATGAGAACACATGAAAAAATAATATTTAATTGAAACACTTTGTTCAATATGTTATAGGGTAATAGACCATATATAGTAGTAATCGAGTTTTATTCTTAGTGAAGGAATAATATAGTTTCTGTCATGATGAGACCATATATATTGTTTACGTTTACCATTTCATGATGAGACAATAATGTTTGTGGTTGACGCATACAAGAGAAAGTAAACGCATGCTTTATTTTATTATCATTAATATAATAAATGATATATTATTTTTAGAAATACTTAATTTTAGTATTTGTATTTCACTTTTATTTGATATGATATTTATGATGGTCGCACCAAAAAAGAAATAAAGCCTTCTAAAACTTTCACCATTACTTATTACATTTATTTACCTTATTATATATAACCACAAGTTTTTTTTCAAAAAAAAAATTGTATTCCGAATTCAATCAAACATCTTCACATAAAAGTATATGAGTAAGTTTAGTTACATAAGAAAATTAAAATTTTTTATTAAAATTTTTGAAACCTAACTCACTTTGAATATATATTTTATCCAAAATATTTTTTTTCGATACCAATTTGTATCAATCGAATCGCAAAGTGAGTATCAGCGTGATAAAAAAAGAATGTCATCGATTTGCTTGATTAGTCTAATATAGTGAATTAATTCAATAACGATAAGTTATTCTACCACCTAAATAGGATAACTTGTGACATCAATAAAGTATAAATGATGAGATAAATAATTTCATGACTGTCTAATATCTCCAATCAAATATAAAATAAAATAATAATATATTAATCTATAAAATTATTATACTTTATACCGCCACCAAACGACTCCTAAACTGTGAAGGAATACTTCAACATTAAACATTCCCATTACAGCCTGCAACCAGTCATTGCCAACGGACTCTTTCCGCAAAACACCTCACCAAAACGTCGCCGTTCCATTAAGGCCTGAAAAAAAAACTGCTTTCTTACTTTTTGCAATAAATAAATAATTATCAGTCTTACCAACAAGGGTTGTGATGGAGTGGTAAGTACTCCTTCATCCTTAACCAAAAGGTCTTGGGTTCGAGTCCTCTTGGGTACAGAGTTGCCTTTGTTAGGGAGCGCTTTACCCCCAATGTGGGACTTTTCGGCGCGAATTCAAATTTAGTCGGGCTCCAATGTGGGTACTGAATACCGGGTGAAAAAAATAAAAAATTACCACTCTCTCTGCCTCTATTTTATATGAGTTATCGTTTGACTCTTCACGATTTAAGAAAGAAAGATTTTAAAAAAAAAATTATAATCTAAAATAAATGATAAAATTTGTATGACAATAAGTCATTATATAAAATCTAACATTTCAAAATTAAATTGTGACTTAATACAAAAGATGAAAAGAATATACATAGGGACCGTGAGATGGTGAGTAATAAATATACTATGGTAGTTATACAACTGTTCTCTTTTGGACCGAGTATATATAGAAAAAATATGAATGATAAAATAAGCAAAAATAGTAGTGCGCACATTGGCCGTTTCAAAACTACACATTTCTTTTTTCTCAATCAACCATTTCCTTCCTCAATCCTCTCCAATTTCTCCTCAGGCCGGCGCCGTTCCGATCTCTCCTTCCGGTAAGCTTTACATCGGCATACATACATATAATTGCATTTTTCTCTATGCATATACATATGTGTGCCAAAATAGCCTCTGTTTTTTGTTTATATTGCAGTTAGGTTTAGTCTGGATCCGATTAGATCGGGAATTTGTCGATCTGAAAAAGGTTTGTTCGTTTGTGTAGGTTTTGGGAGAGAAGAGATCATGGCAAATAAAATGGATCACGAGTACGATTATTTGTTTAAGATCGTCGTGATTGGGGATTCTGGAGTGGGGAAATCAAACATTTTATCCAGGTTCACGAGAAATGAGTTCTGTTTGGAGTCGAAGTCCACTATCGGCGTTGAGTTTGCCACCAGAACTCTTCAGGTTTGTATCAATCTCATGGTGTAATTTTATTTTCATTCCTTTTAGCTTCACGTACGGTGATTTTCTGATTTCTATTAGTTTAACCTTCAAATTTTTGGTTTCTGTAATTTCTCTTATGAAACATGAAATGATGAAAACTATGACAAATTGTTGAATGATTAATTTTAAGCTATTGGAATTACGGGTTTGTATGGTTTTGTATGTGAATGTCATAGAGATAATTGTTACTATATGACTCGTCATAGTTGGCCCTTTTTCTCTTTTTCCATTGTAAACAAAAAACAAACACCTTAGACATGGTCATCATCTATTTAATGAACGCCAACAAAGTTTGATTCTTTCATAGTGTACAGATTCATTCATTATTTCAAGGTATGCACAAGGTACAATTGCATATATGTAGCTGGACCTTTGTATGGACATGCTTGTTACGAGTGAGGAAATTTTGGTAACTGTGTTTTACATCTGAATCATCTTGGTTACGGATTGATCTGTCCCTGTGAGAAAAGTTGTACAATACTCTTATTTTCTTCTCTGGTGAAATGAAGATGTCTATATCTGATGGGAATTTGAGCGTTTGAGTGGCGTTATTGTGTCCTATAGGTCAAAAAGATTTTACACTGTGAAGTACTAAATTTTGTAAGCCCTGTGGACCAATGAGTCAAATTGCTTTTGCCACCTGCAAGATTCATTTCTTCTCATTATTAAGGCATGGCAAAAGTATTGTTCTTTTGACATCTCTCACTAATTCTACTTTATGATGCAGGTGGAGGGGAAAACAGTGAAGGCCCAGATATGGGACACTGCAGGGCAAGAAAGGTACCGAGCCATTACCAGTGCTTATTATCGAGGAGCAGTTGGTGCCCTCCTTGTCTATGACATAACAAAGAGGCAAACATTTGACAATGTTCTGAGGTGGCTACGGGAATTGAGAGACCATGCAGACTCTAATATTGTAATCATAATGGCTGGAAACAAGTCTGACCTTAGGCATCTTAGAGCAGTCTCCGAGCAGGATGGTCAAACTTTAGCTGAGAAGGAAGGGCTGTCATTTCTTGAGACGTCAGCATTGGAAGCTTTTAATGTTGATAAGGCGTTTCAGACTATATTGACAGATATATACCAGATCATTAGCAAGAAGGCATTGGCAGCCCAGGAAGCAGATAGCACTGCACTTCCTGGTCAGGGTACAACCATCAATGTCAGTGATAACTCTGCAAATGTGAAGAGAGGCTGCTGTTCCACTTGAGTTTATGTTTCAAAAAGGAAATAGAATTTGTAGCAAGGCATAAACTTTTGATTTTTCCCTTGTTTCTTTTCTTGTCTTCTATTTCCTTCATTCAGGGCAAAAGAGGCTAGTAGATTACATTTTTGATTGATAAAGAGCAGAGCTTGTTTCATGTTAATATTGCCTAGTGGTTTAGGACTATCTATACTTCATATGATACACACTTTACCCATTTACTTAAGAAAATTGTGGTTACTGGTGATGTTGGCAAGATCAAATTAACTCTGATCTCAAGGACTTGGTACAAATGAGTTTTTAATTCAATCGGAGCATGTTTCCTCGTGTTTCTGTCAAATAAAGTTATGGCTGCTGTTCTGTGAGTGTTTCTAATCAATATGTCTTCTTTTTTCACAATTGGTTTTGCTGAAATCTTGCTTCCAGTACAATATTCTGTGTCGGTATTTAAAGCAAGGAAACTTGAATATGATGTTCTTGGAAAGGAATAACAAAAAAAAATTATCATCAAGGAAAGTATGTTTAGTTTACTACGTGTACTAACAAGTTTGTCACACACAATGTAAGAGGATTCAAAGCCTTATACTTGTTCCCCTCTCGAACCTATTTCAGCTCCATGGCATTTCTTCATTGATTTAACAACATATACTTACATTTCTTGTAATAAATTTTATCGTTAATAATGTTTTCTGAATTTATTAGAGAAAGGAGAAAAATTGCATGCCCTTTACCCTTTTGTAACACATTAATGGAAAATGACAAGAACAAGAACGTCAAAGTTGTTGAAAATGGGAAATTTGAAAATTTCTAATCACATGAGAGTTGAAATATATTAACCTTTGATTCAAACATATCATGTATTATAATAGACAATAGTAATAAACAACTTCTAAATTTTTTTTGCTCTTGGATGTCTCCATCTATTTAGTTGTTTCGACTTGCAAGTTGCAAAGGAACAAAAATATCCCCGTATGTGGGAGAAGTTGACCAAATCACGTAGTGGACGGCTGACAACTTGGTTAAAAGGTGTGGCCTCTCAAAATTGCAAAAGGCACAAGTTGGGAACTCCAGATGGTGATTAGTGCCTACTGCAAATATATAGTATAGTCCTTTTTTCCAGTTTCCCACCCGATTTCCTGTGGATCGCGCACTACAGGACCATCCTTATAATGGAAATGACATGGAAAAAAATTAGAACTTCTTATAGTTGTCAACGTCTTGGACCTTTGAAAACTCAAAAACACAGCAAAATCTGGGGTAACAGAACTAAATTCTCAAATTATGTTGGCAGTCACCACACTAGCCAAAGGTTAACTAAATTAATTATGCTACCAAGAAAACAAAGACGATAAAGTACATACACATCTATGCCATACTCAGCAAGAGAGAGATAGAGAGAAAGACAGATGAAGTAAGCAAATATATACAATCTACAATGAACCTGGTTCAACTTGAATGGTTACATGACGAATTCTGTATGTCGTGTCACAATATTCCCTAACATTCTGAATAATTTCATATTGGTCAACTCCTGGCTCAGTTACAACGTGACAGGACAAAACAATTTTCCCTATAGTGATGGCCCAAACATGCAGGTCATGAACATCTTTTACTCCTGCTAAAGATTTTAGGCCATTCTCGAGTTGAATAATATCAACATCCTTTGGTGTCCTCTCCATCAATAAGGAGAAGATAGTCCTAAGCATGGGTACAGTAGTACTAAGAGCAAAGATTGAGAAAAAAATAGTACAGAGAAGATCAACTACCAACCATTCTGGTTTGTACCACATAATAGCTCCAGCAATCATCACACCAACAGATTGTATCAAATCAGATATAACATGCAGGTAAGCCCCTTCAATATTTATGTTTGATGGTTTGCTGCAACTATGGGATGCTGCTACCAGTTTGGAGCTCTCTTCTTCATTTCTTGGATGAAATTCTTGCATTTCATGATCGTGATCGTGATCGTGACTGTGACCGTGATCATGACCGTGATCGTGATCATGATCCTTGCAAGGACTAAATGAATGGCTATGGAGAGAATGATCATGCCCAAGCCACACAACTGAAATGAAGTTTATTATGAGACCAAATGCAGCAATAGCAAACATAAGCTTCCCATTCACTTTGGCATTAGTATGAAACATTCTCTCAGTTGCTTCATAAATCAAAAAACCAGAGATTAGCCATATCAGCTGTACAGAAATAAGGGCTCCTAAAACTTCAAGTCGGTGGTATCCAAAAGAGTGTTCTTTGGTTGCATCCCAGCCAGACACCCAAACAGCAAAAAGAGAAATAGAAAATCCAACAACATCACTAAGCAAGTGAGCTGCATCAGTTAGAACCGCGAGGCTGTGGGATTTCACCCCTCCGATGGTTTCCACTGCCATGACCATTACATAAAAGATTATGAGCCCACAGAGTTTCATACTCGACTTTGACCTTTGTCTAGAATCCAACAGACTATGCTCGTGCTCTGAGAATGAGCAAATAGGATTGCAAGAAAAATGAGCTCGATTACAGTTGCCATTGCATTTAGCTCCTAACAACTGCTTTATTTCAGACATGGAATCCTCCTGTTGCTCCATCTGTATCGATATGGATTATTGTTAGCCAACTGTTCAATAGAACTACAAATAAGTAGAATTGCAGCATTTGAGTTGAGAGTGAATTGACAGGCCCACTCCCAAGGCTGCCTCAGTAACATATATCAAAGTGGTGGTGGGAAAAGATTCAGTAGAATTGCACCCGGAAGTGCACGGGTGAAACCTCATAAGTACACCGTTTGAGATGTCTATAGCAAGAATAAGGAAACAAAACTGTAGACGGTAATACCTAGTTAAGTTGTAAGTCAACTCAATGATCAGTAAATTTTAGTTTGAAATGTACCCAAGAAAAGTTAATGTAGCATTATGGATTAGACACTTCATCATAGAGGTTCTATGATATACATGTTTCAGCATTATTTCTGAAGTGTATAATGCATCATTTTTAAGCTTATAATATCTAAGCTCACAACTTTTTCCCCAACAATATCAGATTCACATCATGCACCCACGGGTATGTCCTAGTAGTCAATGAAGTAATTTGAGCACCATGAGATGTCAGGTTCAAATCCCAACAAAAGACAAAACACTAGGTGATTTCTTCCTATGTGTTCTAGCCTTGATGGACAGAGATGATACGTATTCGTGGAATTAGCCAAGGTGCAGTCAAACTAGCCCGGACACCAGACTTTTTAAATTTTTGTTATCAGATTCATATCCCTCCCAATTTGAACTAAAATCTGCCATCAGAAAAAAATCCCAACAAAAGACAAAACACTAGGTGATTTCTTCCTATGTGTTCTAGCCTTGATGGACAGAGATGATACGTATTCGTGGAATTAGCCAAGGTGCAGTCAAACTAGCCCGGACACCAGACTTTTTAAATTTTTGTTATCAGATTCATATCCCTCCCAATTTGAACTAAAATCTGCCATCAGAAAACTGATATGGAAAGAGTCAAACTGCTGTCAACTCTAAAAACTACTAACTTGTTTAAAAGTCTTTTGATCTGATCTTCAACTAAAATTGATATAACTCATCATTCGAACTCCATTTCTTCTATACATTAATCCCAGAACAGGGCAATCAACAAAAAAAAAACATTTTTTGTGTTCAAATATAGATCAACACAACAATCATGACCCAATATAAAACCCAGAAAAAACATTATTCCAATCACGGGTGAATGCTTGAAACTCCGAATAACCAATACTAAGATGACACAGAAGCGACACAACAACTAACAAAAAGATCGCAAACGCGAATTTGCAACGGATTTTAATTCTTTTACCTGGATTCAGAAGCAATATAAAGGCCGGCAGGGGAAGCTAGGGCTTCTAGCTGTAAAAGAATAAAATGAGAAAAAATTGAAGAACCATTGTTGTAGAGTATATAGGATTTTCAGAGGCGGAGTCAGAGGCCAATCATTAAGGCGCTGAATGGGCACACCAAAATTGATTCTGATGGAAGAATCAGGGTGGCCGGAAAGGAAAGGTAAGAGGCCACCAACATTTGTTTTTTCATTTTCTCAAATTGTTATGTTATATATATAATTATTATTTTTCTTTTACTATTTACATAACCTCTCTGTTTTCTCGAGATATTAATACAAATTGTTATATGGGAGAAAGAAATTAAGTCGGAATAAGAGATTGTGTATTCTTATTTAGATTTTATCTTATGAAATTGTATAGTATGTATTATTGTTATTTTTTCATCAAACAATTAATTTGAATATTTAGTTTTACTTCAAATCCATGTAAATAAATTTTAATTAAAAAATAACTAAATATTACTTTATTCATATAACTAAAAATACTTTTTTCTAGTTAACTAAAGAAAACAAAATACTATTTTTGTGTTCTTTTACCATCCATTTGTAAGACGAAATACTTATATATGTCATTTTAAAGATTTGTGCAAATTTCAAATTTTTGATAAACTATCGCAGGCGACAAACTTTTTGGTAGCAACATAACACTATTTTTGGTACAATAAAAATAAAATCTTAGTAGTAAAAATAGACATCTTTAATACACAAACTTTTTAACGAATTCTCTATTATCTTTTCTTTTTATTTCATTTAATTGGTTTATATCCAACCTAATGCTCTTTTGACTTTGAAAAAAAATTTGTCATTTTTTCTATCAATAAATTGTTTTTTATATGCATTTCCATAATAAAAAATGGTAGTAGTTAAAGTTTATTTTAAAAAATAAAAATTTGACTCATGGAACAAGAAATTATTTCCACATCAAGGACTAATAGATTTTTAACGTCTAATTAGATCAATTCTCTACTAGACTTTCTAGGTTAAAATGTTTTATTAACTCAACAATGTGATACTAGACATTATATATCTACTGCACGTACTTAATACACATATACTTATGTTCATAATAATATCTACGTACATATACACATTTTATCCATGTAATAACTAATTTCAAATAAAAAATATTCTTTTAACTCAGTGATATAATAATGTCATGATAATAATTCCCATTCAATTAGTCTATCAATAATTAACAATTTACCTTGTAGATCTAATAACAAATTTTACATATTGCTTTTAATCTAACAAGATTCTCAAGCATCATATATTTTTAGCTTAAATTACTTTGATATGATTATTAAGAGATTGTTAGTAGATTTGTTTAATCAAGTCATTTGACCGCGGGAAGGCGAATTTTGTAAAAGTGCTAATTTGGTTGGGAAGAATAGGACTTCTGACTCCAAGCCTATCCTATCCGAATTTTTCAGCTATTGAAGTAGTCTCTTAGTTCATACAAGGTGGAGATAATGGGGTCTGTCCATGGATTTTCCTTCTTTTTCTTTTGCTGCATTTCGCTTAAAGGGTTGAAGGGAGACAGTGCATCAAAGTGTTCGCAAGGGCCAACTTGATCCTCTTCCTTAGAGATCTCACATGAGGGAACCCTGGGAGAGCCGCCGACTCCAACTACCGTCCATGTATGATCCATACTAGATCTGACCAACTGCCCATTCTAACTCCTCTACGTTCTTGACAACGTATTTTTGTCTTAGCACGTTTCGATTCTCTTCCCTAATACTTAGGAAAAGTGAGCCACCGGTTCAGGTACAATATACTATCATTACCGCCTGGACAATTAGACATCCAACTTGTAATCACAACGAGCTTAATCAAGCATTATATCGAAACTATTCCAATACTTCTCTAATCTTCTTTTTTTTGTCATCACGAAAGATAAATACTATTTATTAAAAGCAAACATTAATACAAGGATGTTCGACTTGTGGCCATTCTGACCCAACAATATTGCACAAAAAGGTATTAATGAAACTACTAGTAGCTACGTTTGGCATCGGTACAAATTGTTGCTTGATGCCCCCTGTTGTCCAGAAAAATGGGTGATTTCTTAAAAAAGATGATTGAATTCAAAACGTCTCTATTCAAAGCATGTCTTGTCAGCAGATCTGCTACACCATCAATTTCCCTATACGAGTGCTCCACGACATCATTAGTTAGCTGGTGGAGGAGCACCTTGCAATCATGTAAAACATGAGTAAAAAGTAACGCTGGTGTGTGCAAAAGAGTAATAATATATATCTTGAGCGTCAATCTCAGCTATCAGCGGCGTAATATGATGCTCTAGAACAAGTTTAAACCCATTGAAAAGTGCAAGTAGTTCAGCTATGACGCCATTGACCGCAACAAGAGTTCATGAATCCTAAAACTCTAACTCGCAGAATTACATATAACTTTTCCAATCTCAAATATTTTTATAATTATTCAATAATATTAAGGTTCAGTTTATTTTCATTAGAGTGTTAAAATGTTGATGTGAAGCTGTATTTCTGTTAAGCATTTGAATAATATTTGGATAAAGTTTTTAAAAGAGTAGTTTGAAGATGATATATTTGTTCAAAATTTGAAAAAATGATGATGTCAGAAGCAAGCTTTAAATATATTGGTTTCGACCCGCAAAGTCTCAATTTTTCGATAAAATATTACCCAAACGCCAACTCCAGTGAAAAGGAAACCCTAGATTTTGATTTATAGTAGCAAAATTCACAAAGAGCCACACGAGGGAGGGTCAAGGGCTGCACAAGTTACATCGACTCCGACATCGGAGTTTGCAGCCCTCTCCGCCCCCAAAAATATCTCACTCTTCTTTATCCAACCAATTATTTCACATCATCATCTAATCCCCACCCCCAAATTACCATAAAAATCAAACCTTTATGGATTCTTGGAAAAAACTGTGACCCCATTTTATTGTTTTTCCATTTCTGTATTTTCTTGGATTTTTAGGTTTTATTTAGGGTATTATTGAGACCCCCACTAGGAAAAAAGGAGGAGGAGAAAGGGAGATGGCTCAAAATGGGCAGGGGATAGAACCTGCGGTTCTTGATGACATAATTAACAGGCTATTGGAGTTTAGGAATGTAAGAACTGTTAGACAGGTTCAGCTTTCAGAGGCTGAGATTCGTTCTCTCTGTACTGCTGCAAGAGCAATCTTTCTTCAGCAGCCCAATCTCTTGGAGCTTGAAGCCCCTATCAAGATCTGTGGTAAAAATCTTTTTTTTTTCTTAACCTTCTTGGTTTACTTTGTTGGCACAGACGAATCATTATTACATGCATGTTCATATTTACATTTGAGTTTGTGAAACCTCTGGTAGTTGTAAGGCTTGAAGACCTTAAATTTATCTAGTGAATGTTATTCCGCGCTGTTAAATGTGAAAATATGTTGATGAATTTGAAAAATTAGTTTCTTTGACCTGAATGAAACTTGTGGGGTATTGGCGAGGCTCTTCTCAATTCCTAGAGCATGTGTGACGCAGGAGAAGATGAAAAGCTGTATGTTCATTTTGAATAGTTTTTTTTTTCAAAAAAGTTTCCAAGGTTGATTGCACAGTTTGTACACTCATCCACTATGGTGTCTTACTTATAGGGATGTAGCTTGCCATTTTAATGTAAATGCGGAATATATTTGTAATATGGGTATACTCGTGGGATACAGTTGAATCGTGTATCTGCTTTTGTATATCATTGCTATGATATGTCACATGACAGAGCCCTGCTCCTAATGCTTGTCTTTTTGCCTTCAGTAAGTAGCACGACTAAAGAAAGAGATTGCTGAAAGAGTGAATTACTTGAAAGACAGTAGGAAAGCGAACAGATGTAGAAACTTAGTTCAGAAAATTTGTAATTAGGTTTTGTTTGCTTGAGACTTTGGGATAGAGAGTACCCTTCCTAGAAGATGGCTCATCATCCTAAAGTGATCTCTAGGTGTAAATTTTTGGTTGTTAATGGTAATACTTCACGGTTTACCCAAAAAAAAAAGAGTAGCACGGCTCTTTATTTGTTTACCTGTAGTTTGATAAGATTACAAGGCTCTTGATTAATCTGTTTGGCTGTAGTTTGATAGGATGTGTTAGAAAAGATAGAGTAGAGTCCTTACGTTTTCCTGGAGATTGTTCTTCTATTCTTGAAAGAGTGAGAATTTAGTCTCTCGATATCTTTACTTGATGTGCTTACTGAATTGCTTCGTTGTTCATACTTCCCTTGAGATTAGGTTGTCATTATTATAATATTTTCTAATATTGTTTCTATCTTCCACATCTTTTATCAGGAAGTATGTTTATTTCATAACAAGATTCTTTTCCTCAGCTGTTCACCTCTTCATTAGATCCATTTCACTTTTCTGTTTCTTTGTTAGGGGATGGTTGAGGCAATCTGTTATAATCAATCTTTGTATTTGGTCAAACTAATTAGCCTATCTCTTTTTTTTTTCTTTTCTGGATTCTAGGTGATATTCATGGACAGTATGGTGATCTTCTGAGGCTTTTTGAATATGGTGGATTCCCACCCCAGTCTAATTACTTGTTTTTAGGGGACTATGTGGATCGTGGCAAACAGAGTTTGGAGACTATATGCCTTCTACTTGCTTACAAAATTAAATACCCAGAGAACTTCTTTCTGTTAAGAGGGAATCATGAGTGTGCTTCTATTAACCGGATATACGGATTTTATGATGAATGTAAGCGCCGATTCAATGTGAGGCTGTGGAAAGTCTTCACTGATTGTTTCAACTGTCTTCCCGTGGCAGCTCTCATAGATGATAAAATACTTTGCATGCATGGTGGCCTTTCTCCTGATCTAACAGACATGGATCTGATACGAAATTTACCTCGTCCAACAGATGTTCCCGATTCCGGTTTGCTTTGTGATTTACTTTGGTCAGATCCTAGTAGAGAAGTTAAAGGTTGGGGAATGAATGACAGGGGCGTCTCATATACCTTTGGTCCTGATAAAGTGGCAGAGTTCTTGATGCAACAAGATATGGACCTTGTTTGTCGTGCCCATCAGGTATTTCTGTTTGACTCGTGGTTTTCTCTTTTTCTAGTATTGAGTTATTTACTAGGATATTTCTTACCTAGGTTGTGGAGGACGGCTATGAATTTTTTGCTGAAAGGCAGCTAGTTACAGTATTTTCTGCACCAAACTACTGTGGCGAATTTGATA